ATACCAGAATATCTCCTTCCAAAACTAGTTGGTATCTGCCATCCAGATGGTCCCCACCCGGAACTTTTGTTTCATGCCCACAGTTGGTGATCTCAGCCATATTTTATAGCCTATGACGAATTCCATCTCCTGGTAGCCAACAGTCATAAAAATGGGAGGTTTGTCTACCATCCCCAACTTCAATACTAACACCATCTCTCATCATCTTTTTCACCAAAGGATCTTTCTTAAAGACCATACACAATCCTGTGGACATATATTAATTTTATTTCATTTCATTTTGATATTTCTAATCATGAAACTGGACTTTTATATTTTCAAGTTTTGATATATATGTGTATCTGTTGCTAAAATCATCCGTTTCTCTCTTGATATGTGCAGGTATTAGCCTAGCATTTGGACTAGTATGTTTACCTATTGGTACAAGGCAGTTGTACAAACTTTTAAAGAAGAAAAAGAAAAAGAAGCGACAAAGACAATTCTTCAAACAAAATGGAGTTTTATTATGGGAGCAACAACTGCCTACAACTGAGGTTAATATTGAAAAGACCAAAATATTTGGTACAGTGCAGTTGGAGAGAGCTACTAGCAAATTCAACAGGGATAGAATACTAAGTCAGAGAGGGCAGGGCACTGTTTATAAAGGAATGTTGGTTGATGGAAGAATTGTTGCAGTTAAGAAGTCCAAAGTATTGGACAAAGTGAAAGTTAAAAAGTTCATCAATGAGGTGGTTTTTACACAAATTAATCATAGAAACATTGTTAAGTTATTAGGTTGTTGTTTGGAGACTGAAGTTCCTTTGCTAATTTATGAATTCATCCCCAGTGCAACACTTTTCCAGTATACAAATGATCAAAATGGGGCCTTCCCATTAACCAGGGAAAGATAGGTAACAATTGCAGCAGAAGTTGCAGGTGCACTTTCCTACTTGCACTCAGCAGCCTCCATTCCCATTTATCAATTATCATAGAGATGTTAAGTCCTCAAATATTCTAATGGAAGGAAAGTACTGGGCAAAAGTTTCAGACTTTAGGATATCAAGATCAATTGCCATTGATCAAACTCATTTGACCAAAAAAGTGAAGGGCACATATGGGTACCTAGATCCCGAATATTTCTGGTCAGGTCAATCTACAGAAAAAAGAGAGGTTTACAATTCTGGAGTTGTCCTTCTTGAGCTCTTAACTGGAGAAAAACCAATTTCTTTAGCAGGAGCAGAGGAAGAGGAAGCAAGAAGTTTGGCCTCTCATTTCATTCTTTCCAAGGATGAGAATAGTCTCTTTAATATTCTTGACTTGATGCTCAATTAAGGGAGAGTTCTGCACATGAAGAGATAACAAAGGTTGCTAAACTTGCATATCGATGCTTGAACTTGAGTGGTCGAAAGTGGCCAAAGATGATAGAAATTGCCGCGGAGTTAGAACAGATTCATCTTTTGCAAAACTATTCACATGGTCAACAAAATCATGAAGAGGTTAGGTATTTCAAGACTGAAGTAACCAATCTTTGGGATGGTGCCTCAACTTCAACAGGTGCAGGTTTGGACTCTGGAGTTGCTTTGTTGTTAGACATGGAGTCATGAATTTCCAGTGAATCATGGGGACTTAAATGATTTATCCTAGAGTGCATTTACTCCATGTTGGGGGATATAATAAGTTCTTTCTTTTTTGTGTTTGAAAATTTTTAGTTCATTTAATTTTTATTTTTGTCACATTGTAGTACAAAGTTCAAATAAAGTGTGCACAACTTGGTTACAATAGTTTGATATAATGACAGGCTAAAGTATTATTGAACCATTTCCTTTTCAGATTTAAATTTATTTTGTCTTACCAAAATTGCCAGGGTTAAATCAAGTCCCCAACACATGATAAATGACACATATCCTTTAGATTTGGTGCTATACACATATTAATATGTGTATGCATGAATTATTTAATTGTATTCCTAAAAAGCTAGCACAAAGTCATTTCCTAATTCCAGTTCAACTATCCTGAAACTTTCACCACTCAAGACAAATTATCTTAGCAGCATATTCACAGTCAGTGAAGCATTGGGTATATTTCCTTGCTTGGCTTATCTTTTAAAAGTATGAGTAGAAATTTTTTAAAGGAAAAAATAGTTATTCATGCCTTCAGCATTAACAAACAATCATCAGGCTAGCATGAAATACCCTTAATTTCTGTATAGCCGAAAAACTATAATGTAAGATAACAAGGTAATGATAGCATTGAAAACCCAGGTAATAAGACTTACCTGTGTGCAGAAGTGCCAAAGTAGACAGTTGTTCCCTTGAAATAGCCTTCCAAGTAGTTTTCTTCAATCTACACACTCAAAATAAGTATCATAAGACAAGAAGAAGCCTATCTTCTGCCATGCATGATATGAAGAACCAAGATGATATACCTCAAGCATCAAAGGAGGAGAAGACAACCATGAAAGTTCCTCAACTTGGCTTAGGTTAACATTCCGAGGTAAAAACATAATGACATTAGGCGTTATCCTCTGAGCAGCCTGAAATATTGAGTATCTACAGGATGTCTTGCAATCAGACATACAACAAAGCGAACTCAAAGTTCAAAATGAAATGGGCATGTTACAAGAATCAACTAAATAACAAGCATAACATAAACAAAGATACATCACAAATGGTTTATCCTACTCAATTCCAGTCCAAGTGATATTTTAGTCTGCCAAAGAGATTCAGCATGAAATATTATACACACATACATCTTTGCTTATGTTTAAGGATTACTTTAAATTTTAAGAAACAAAAAATCATAACTCATCAATAACAAAACCAAGAGGTTGTTTGGCTTAGCTTATTTCTACGTTATGAAAATCATAAGGTTTTGAAAACGTAAAAAGGAAGTTCAAAATTATTTAAGCTTGGATGAACAAATTGTGGTTAAAAATTTGAGCTAAGCATAATTAGACTGGATATCAGTTTCAGAATCTGATAGTAATGTTTACAAGATTATTGAGTCTGCAAATTTTGAAATCACTTGATGCCTTTTCCTTAAACCATTGCATTTTAAAATGCGAACATGCAGGCGGCAGGAAATAAATGTTAAAAAAGTCTTTCAAATTTGAACAG